AAATGAGTAGTTAAAGGTGGGGTAGGTAAGAAGGTAGTAGGTAGGTTTGAGAAACCGGCTGGAGATACACTTGTTGTTATATTCTATGGAATGCTCTTAACAACCCGATAGCAATGAATATCTTAAGTGCTTTGTCAAAAAATCCGTAAAAAAATGTCATCTGTGGAAGCCGTAGTACTGTAAAAAGCACGACCGGGCACGGCCCGGCTAAAATAACTGGATGGCCTACCTGCCTTTCAGCCTTCCATCTGTGCACAAACTTATCTCGTGCCCTCATTGGTCATGTGCGCGTTCGTGTGTGTTGGAGGAGGGGCTCTGCAAGGAAGTGGCAGATTTCTTCCGGTTGTGTATTTTCAAATTCTAGCGCAATCGAGCTGGTTTCTCCAAAATTACCTACCCCACCATTAAGTAGTAGCAGCTTTATTAGGATTGAAAATGAAAGCTGATGTTTGGGCCAATTATTGTACCTTTGCTAAGAAGCAAGCTAGCTGTTTCACCCTGCTTACAGTCTTTGTGCTATGCTAAGCTAACTAGCCGCTAATGTTAACTTTAAATATAAAAAAACAGACACGAGAGTGGCATCAATCCTTTCATCCAACTGTTGGAAAAGAAAGCAAAACTTTTACTTTGACATAGATTGTCAACTGAACAGGACACGTGAGGTATTCAAAATGGCACTAGGATTTAAAGACACATAGAACTTGCAAACAAAAGAGTAAACTGATGGATTTTCAGTTGACAATGAAGGCATTTTTAAAGCTAACACTACCGTAGTTCTACATATATTGAGGAAACATGTAATTATTATACTGCTTCTCATTTGTTCCGTTCAAACACCCTTACCAGCCCTTAACATGTGACTTAGACACCAGATTCTAAAAACATTTAAAAACAATGCAAAAGCTGTGTCAAGCTTTGTAAGAAATCACATTGTTTCAGTGATCTCATTTGTTGTATTAGAACCTTTCAGATACATTGAATAGAGAAGCAGCTTTGCTCAGGGTCACTTACCAAAGAAGCAGTAGATGATTCCAAAGAGGCAGCACATGGAGCAGACCACTGAGGGAACAATCTCATACCTCCTCTCAATCTCCTGGTCACACTTCAGCCCCACCTCAACCAGACCCAGCAGGCGGCTGGTGGACGGCATGGTGCCTGAAGTGAGTGGTGGGTGGCGATTAGGGGGTGCGGGGTGGAAGGGGTCTGCAGGGATGACTGGATCAGTGGGCCTCAGCCATTAAGACATGTCTACCTGCAAACAGGATGTAAAGAAAGAGAGTGATGGAGAGAGAGAGAGCGGGACAGGGCAGGAGAAAGAAAGAGTGATTATTGATTGCTCATTTTAAGTACTCAGCTGTGAGTGCTCAGAGAGCAGTAAGCATGCATTACATTTTGAAAAGAGAAACATCTCAGCACAGCCTCTCTCACAAATACTGCAGCAGATGAAATGACTGCGTACTAAAGAAATGCAACTCAGCCACTATCATCCACTTGGGTATACAGGAAATAGGTAGCAACAAATTGTTTCCAACAGTTTCCAACAGCTGACCGATAGCTGGAGATCTGCAGCACCAACACACTGATTACCATGGGGTGATCAACATGAAACAAAGAGAAACAACACCCTTTAAACATCTGCATCTCTACTTAGAACTGATATTTCCCTGCTTTAATAACTCTTTTTAAATAATAAATAAATATAAGTAAAGCTAAAAGATTGCTGCTGCAATGATAACACTTTACAAAATCACTGAGACTTATAAATCATTTCTAAGGAATATTGTCAATCTACAAATGTTGAATATAATGTATTTTACTGGGATATTTAGTACAACATATACCGGAAAAATAATACCGTGGTTAATGTCATACAACATGAATAAAGCAGCAAGGATTTTAAGTGGATAATTAAAGATCATACTTTAATACAGCTAAAACACTTGAAAGGAGATACTACTTTACTGTAAAAGTGTAACAAGATAAAAACGTGTGCAACTAAAACAGCATATTCTGGCTTTTAGTATAATAGTAAGTCATGAAAAAAATTGTGTGAGACACACGTCTATGAGTGCAATACATTACTATGCTTGTGATGGAAAAGGCAACAGCAGAAACACCATTCTGTGAATAACAACACTGAATCTGGACTGCAGTGCGTCCTTTAGTGATGTAATTATTAACCTAACACAACATGTAAAATTAATGCAAAAGCGTAATTATATTGCAGCGGTAATTCAGTGTGATTGCTAAGCGTATACATTTAGACTCCACTGACTATAATGGAATTTAATCTGTAAATGTGGCCACAGGGCAGATTTAGCTATTTCACTGATTGTCGGTTAAATACAGGTTTCATTTTTTTGTACAGTGTGCAGCGAAGATTACAACACTTCATCTACTGAGATATGTGAAGACGTACTATTAGATAGTATATCTCAGTATTGATAACATTATTCTATATTGATCTCCTTGTGTCCTTTGGGAAGACATAATCAGATCACTAAAGGGTTTGGTGTCAGCACACTGCTTCGAGATTCCAATCCTTTTCCTAATCTTAGAGTTATTTGTTGAGGACTTTAGTTGGATGAAAATGTGCCTGGGGCTCCCACTTTGATAAATTTTTGGCAGTATCTGTGCCATCAGCTACTTAAAGTGATCACAGTCAGCTATGTTTTAAATATTTCTTGTGAGGATAGCCAAGGGCAAATTCAGTCAAACACTATGTCCCACTCTACCTCAACATGATGGCACAAAAACTAGACTCTTACTGTTCACCACAAACCCACACACAGCACCATTTATGCACCAAATCCCAATGCTTTTATTCCCACTTGAGATGGATTTATCTCCTGCTAAACGTTTAGACTCGCACAGCGGTGGTTATTCATAAATGGGGGCATCCCTCAAGTAGTATATGGGGCATTCTACCGAATTGATGCAAAGTGCGGTCCCACAACAACAAAAAACTATTTAACAAAACAATTAAGTATTCAGACATAGATATTTACTAATAATATGTTATGGTCTATTTAAACACAAGGCATTCAATTATATAGTGATAAGCTTAATATATACAAAAACATCATTTATAGGGTACTTTCTATTGGGAAGTAGCTGTCCCCAACCCTGACATCAAAATGTCATGTTCTGTAAATAACACTTAAACATTTTATTTTATTTTGTTGAATGGTGTATTTAGAAGATCTTTATGATTACATTCAAACAGAAGTTGGAATATTTATATTTATTGTGGGTTTAATTTTTTAATAAAAAAACTATACTCAAAAAATCATGTCCCCAGTTTTCATGTCACTACTGAAACACAAGGGGTTTTAGTCCAATGGCTGAGCCTGGTTTTTAGCCACACCCCTGCACTTTTGACAAGGCAGTGACACTGCATCCCTGTCCCTCATGGCTGAATGGCTAGTAGCTATATCCCATACTTTTGATATAAATCTGTTCCAAAATCTGAAAATCGGCGTGTAACCTTGTACACCTTGTAAAGAATTGTCACTACCGACAACTGAAAAGCCATCCTGCGAGATCATTGAACTCGTATTGATTCTCTTCGTTGATGACGATCGTAGGGTAAAAACGTCCAAATGTGGTAGTTTTGGATTGACGAACATTTTGGGGGTTTACAAATGAATACCTCTCNGTGTGATGTAATATGACGCGTTTGACGTATGACCTTAAAAAAAAGCCGTTTTTAAGAGCAGAGCTCAAAATTGCTCCTTTCCCTCTGAATTCCTGCCCTTATGTCTCGTAAAACATATCAAATCCTGCATTCACTTTTTTAATTGTAATTTTCAAGCAAGTTTAAGCGTAAATGTAGAAAAAATAAAAACCTGCAAGATGCTCTTTAAAGAGGAGATTGACACCTATACTTTCTTAACATTTTAATTTCCAAACGGAAACACAACTTATTGTGCACAATTAAGCCATGTCATTTAAATAATCCACAGAAGCAGGTGTTAATAAACCCAAAATAACAATCAGTGTCTGCTTTTAATTAAACAATGCATGCAATATTCTACTTGTATGTATTCCCTTGTGATCAACCATCCTCTGTTAGATTACTTGACCATTTCTAATGTATAAAGTCCTATATGTAAACTGATCCCATAACACCTGCAGCCCCTGATAACAGAAGCAACAACATTAGTCAAAAACATATTAGAAAATTAGGGACACTATAGGCACCATTTTCATGTTATAAAAATACTGTATTGTGTTGTGTAGAAAATATAATATAATACAAATGTTGGGAAAGCATCCTCCAAGCTGGTTCTAGATGAATATTGCTGTGTGTTGCATTCAAATGGAGAAGGGAGAGATTCACTGAGGCGTGCACACAGCATTAACATTCAGTGTATACGTCTTGGTGAAGCACAGTCTGTCCCTGCATTACAAACGGATTACCCAACCATTTTAATTTTCCAAACATGCTACAAGACCATATAGTGACTATCATTTAATTTTTAAGGTTTCTGATCAATCAACACCAGCTTTAGAATTAACAAGTTGACGTCAACTTTTTTTAATAATTAACAACATTTCAATATATCAAACTGATCAAAAATAGTTGTTTTAAAGATTTATAGCAAAGCGTCAATTGCATCATTTTTCTTCAAATAATTCAGCTCCTCAGTCTTTCAACATCTGTTGTCTATTTGTTTCTCTGTTTGTTTGACAGCATACTGTGAGAAAAACAGAAGATAAAAAGGGAGTATTTTCACCCTCGACTCCAGATATTGCTCTCTAAACCAAATAAGAAATCCTGTTATTAGGATGAGACAGATTGCATTTTGTAGACAATTCTAAGAAACCCCGCGGTGACATTTGAAATAAAATGTCTCGAGTCTGAGAATTGAATCACCCCGCAGATAGATGCCTCTTGCAATTGTAGGATTTTGTAAAACTGTATTTTCTAAGAAGAAATGGTTAGCTGTAATTAGTTTGATAAGAAACTAAGTTGCAGTAGAAATTATAGGGACAAAATGGAAGAGGAAAAGGAAAATGAGGGAAAGGGAGGTAGACAAGAGCTCAACAAGCCAGAGTGAACAGATGGGCTGGACGGTTTGAAGGCTCTAGAAAAGGTAGGGGAAGTAGGGAGGAACAAAAAACGGCCCCCCTCCTACTCGCTGTATGAGGGGTGGAACATTCGGGGTGATGGAGGGCAGAGAAGGATGGTTGAGGCTGAGTAAAGTGGACCTGGAGATGAGGAGCTGCCAAGGAGAGGCACGCGTGTTACTAAAAATGAAATGAGAAATTGATTCAGACCCACTGGTATTGAAAAGAAATGTTGTGATAACCATGTGACCAACATTATGTTCAGTTGGACGTCGATGCTTGGGAAATTACAGAAGACAGCGAGCAGCATTGATGAAAGGCAGAGGCTTTTACCACAAGCTTTATTGAAGGGCCTGGTGGCTGGATGATAGGTCTACAAAGGAAAACCAGAAGAGTAAGAAGAAGGAAGTAAAGAAAGCTGGAAGAAGTCCGTGAAATAAATGAGATATGGTCACGAGGCTCTTGGACATTGGGTTGGATGAGAGGAAGAGTATTGTTCGGCTCAGCTGTGCAATGCCTGATTACACACAGATAACAATCTGATGTTGGTTCCCCTCGAGACAGAGTCCAGACACACACAGAATGAAGGAGATATAGAGAAAACAGAAAGGGAGACGCAAACATTAATAAACACCAAAGCATGGGCCAGGCAGATTGTAACTGCTGATAATTTGAGCTTTAAAAGGTTCACTATCTTTTTTGGATGCAGTAAACACATTTAAATTGAACTGGTGAGAGATTAAAGGGAGAAAGAGAAGAGGACAGGAGGGACCACATGATGGGAATAGAGATCCTTTTTTTAAAGGAAAGCAGCTGTTCTTTTCAGCAGGCATTTTGACTAATGAATGTGGATGACCTTTTGTAATACGATGATTATCATATTTTAAGGCACTTTCATGAAGGTTTACTTGCTCATAATGAAGAAATGCCTCTCTTACCCACAACAGGAAGGCGGCTCTACATTTTCTTCATTGCTTTTCTGTGTGCATCATGCCTATTTTAAGAACTTGCACATTTAAAGCTTGAAAAACATGTTAAATCAAGTACATACTCTGGCTAATGAAGTTTTTCCATTTGCAACTGATTACCGGTCATCATGTAATTTATGATATTTGTATACATTCAACATAAATCAATACAAGTTTTGGGTTGCTACAATTTCATCATTGTAGCATTGGTGGAGGATCACCCAAAATTATGCATTTAATAATTTTGTATGGAGTTCAATAATAACATAATTTATATTAAATGTTTCAATTAATTGGTAACACACATCTATGGTCTTGCCTATGGTAACAACTTATAAACCCTGTTAATACCTCGTTAGAAAATCTTTCAAAAAAATAATTTCTCTCAGCCTTCATATGTTGGTTTTGCTAATATTGTATTGGTGTGTATTTGGCCGTAGAACATTGTGTTGATCCATTAAAGTTACTGCTATTGAACGCTTGCAAGAGCAAATGAATCATTTACACGGGCAGTTGCAGCCTGTTGAAGCGTCTGTATGCATGTCATTTTCTTACAGTCTCCTTTTTTCCGTGTCTCCTGCAGGCTATCGATGCTTCAAGGCTGTGTTGTTCCTCACTGGCCTACTGTTTGGCTCTGTGGTCATCTTCATGCTGTGCTACAAGGAGAGGGTGATGGACACTCAGCTGAGCTTAGAGGCGTCAGTGGGCATCGGCCTGGGCATCGGGACCCTCTGTGGCCTGGTGACCATGTTGGTCCGCAGTGTGGGGCTGTTTATGGTGGGCCTGCTGCTTGGCCTGCTGCTGGGAGTGGCTTCATTGGTGGTGAGGAGACCTTTGATGACGGTTTCTATTTATGTTAATTTGCATACAGAATATCAAAGGAAATAATTATTAAATTGGTACCTTTAAAATAAGTGATACATCTTCATATGTTCCAACTCATATTAAAAAAACATTGATTTGCTTTATCGATAATGCTTTTTACTATTATCACACCGAAACCTACTTGGGCTGAATCACACCTTCTTTTATGATTGTGGTTATCCACCACATTTTCACAGCTTTTATCTAGAGAATTAAAAGGTCAAGCAAATCATGTACAACACATATTGAAATGCCATTAAAAATAACTTTCCCATAGCAGTAACAGCAGCATCTCAAGCGATAAAAACACATACATCTAGCCTAATGTATAGCCTTCCAAGAGCTTTATTTGTCTTGTTATGTATGGTGCTAGCTAAAGAAGTTAATATGCCAACAAGAAATCAGTGTATCTACTCAAAAAAGTATGATACCTGACTGAATTATAAAGAACATTGCAATTTCAATTTTGGAAGATAGAGACTTTAATCTGTGAGACCAATTTGGAAGTCTTAATTTGACATAACTTGAGGAAACCTCTTGTATGGATGTACTTTGTGGATGTGGATTGGCTTTAGTGAATAAACAAAAATTGTTGCCATCATTGATGTTGATAGGGCACTCATTCTTTTTGATTAAAACAACAAAAAATACTATAAGAAAATACAACTGCAAACGTAAAACAATCTCTTTTATTTCTCCAAGACTATGGAGGAGTTCTACCACCCAAAAACAGTGTGGGTTCCTCTGGGCATCCTCCTGGGTTCTGGGACGCTATTTGCCGTCCTCACTCTTCAATGGCAGCGCGTCTTTGTCACCCTCTCCACCGCCACATTCGGCTCTGCCATCATCACTGTCACCGTGGATTACTTTATAGAGCTGTTCGCTTTGGTACACTACATCTACGAGAGACTCAGGGTAAGCTTGTCTGCACGTTTGTGAATAAACTGTTAGTAAGAGAGAGAGAGAAACAAAACCTTTCATTTATTTGAAGTCATCTCGTAACATTTCCGTTTTCAGATTTCGTATTTGAGGTTCATTGTGTCCCTGATTGTTTGTGTTCCTTGGATCGTTATTTTCATGCGTGTGTTTGTGTGTGAGTAAACAGAAAGACAATTGAGCAGATGTGTGTGGATAAGGGACAGACGGGCTGAGTTAAGCATGGAAAATACGGATAAAATCTTCAATAAAGTATATCTAATTTTATGTTGTCATTGTGGTCTAAAAGAATACAGCCAGCTTCCTCCCTACAAATTCAATTGAAAACCCATTTGTAGATAAAATGCCCAAATGGGAATGTCTGCTTTTGAGCTGAGTCAGTGAATTAAATAGCTGACAACACTAATGCAAAAAAAAATCCTGTAAATCCAGTATTGCTATAAAACCGTCCCACATACTGCAAACAGTCCTGCCAGGGCTTAACCCAAATCTATTTAATCATTGGATGATTTAAAGATGCTGATAGGGACTGCGCCTCTGTTCAATCTCCCACAGGTGTAAAGTTGGGCTTTGATTATCAACAACAATGGCCACAACACATTATCATTTACATACCAGTCCCACAATGCAGACCCCTTGCACAGTCTTGGAATGATCTGTATTCAGTGTTTGAAATAATTTATCTATGTCTTACATTTATATGTTTCATGTCATGTATTCTCCACCTTTATCAAATGTTCATCTGATATTTTAGATTTACTCAATAGAGAATCGATGAGGAGCCATATTCAGATTTGTTTTAATGATGTTATGTCTTAAATAACTCTGGGAACTCTAAGACTTTCTTTGTGTATATTTATTCAAATGAAGTCATTAATCTCAAACTTTAATTCAAATGTTTGCAGGTGGCTCCAAAGAAGCCATTGTGCTGGTTTACTTGGGTCATCTTGGGGGTCTGGCCGGTCCTGGCTCTCCTTGGAGTGCTGATCCAGTGGAAAGTCACTGCAGAGGGATTTTCTCACACAGAAGGTGAGTGATGCTGCTTTACACACATCCAGACTCCTTTTACCATATTCAACCTAACTGAGGACACCAGTAGTGCTATACAAGTGTTTAGAAACAGTGGGGGATTACTTATTTTGCATTGGTGTTTGGATATAAATAAAAAATGTAGTCGTCTCTCAGCTGACAAAAGGGCTACGGACTCAAATGTTAACATGTTGGGCAGAGCAGGTCGAACAGGAGTGTTTACAGGCTTACTCAGCACTTTTAAGTCAGTCCAAACAAGTCAAGAAAGTCAACAGGGGTCAAAGGCAGGTAAGAATCAGGCAGCAGGTTTAAACACAGGTAGCAGATCACAGGCAGGTTTAGAGAAACGGTGCAGGCAAGTGCAAGTGGAAATGGATAAAGGGAGCTAAAGATAAAGATAAAGAGGAGCTGCTGAGGGAATTAGTAGCAGTTCTGCAGATGGTGTGGTGTGGAGGTCAGGGGATATGGAAAGGAGGGAATTCATCAGGGACATTTTCTGAACAAAAGAAGAATGGCAGGTTTTGTAAAATCCAGGGACCTGGGGGAAATGTGAATGTCAGAGGCCGAGGGGACGTGTCCTCATGACATGTCAGAAAACACTAGCCAAGACTTTGATCTTTACCTTAGTGGATTTTAATTAAACATGCAACGATGAATACATCTATCTAATTAAATAATTACATTGAAACCCAGTCTATTTGTATACACTAAGAGCTTCTGCTTCAACCTCTCAGATCTGGTCAGAAACGGCTCATCTAGAGAGGTGGTGGTGCCCCCTCACTGTGTCCGTTCTAGTTTTATGGCAATCTAGGCCACAGCCTCTAGCTTCAGGCAAGGCTGTTGCAGACCTCTTGAAACATATGTTTTATACAGTAGCACAGCTTTAAAGTCGTATTTACATTTTTATTCACAGCATTTACCACTAATATCACCCATGACAGCCGCTATGTAAATGAATATGAGGCTGTTTTGCCCAAGCTGCAGAAACTGTGTACATGCATATGTTAAAGTCCGTGCATGGGTTTCTTATTAAATGTGCATTTATTCAGGTTTCATGGTAGAAATGTGCAACTTCTATTCAGTCTTATCTTAGATATTGAGTAATTATGTCAAGTACACTAATGATGATTAGGCTTGTTTCAGTATTGATCTCAAAAAGGCAACTGCAAGCTGGTCCCATTTTCTCAACACTGACAAATCTATCCTAATTTTATTAAACTGGCAGTTTTAAAGGCTACTTGAAAAAGAAAGCCTTGTGAGGGCTGGGAACACTGTGTGTTTGTATGTATGTGGGAGAGTCTGAATACACCAGCATTAGTGTTGTCAGCGGTGTGCCTATTGATGGAGAAAGCCTTAATCTGTTCTGAAAGCAACCACAACACACACAGTACAGTACACACAAACAGCCTCACACAGAGACAAACATATACTGGGGTATAGATGCACTCACTAATACACAAACAACAAGAGCATTTAAACACACACATCTCATGCACACACACACACACACACACACACACACACACACACACACACACACACACACACACACACACACACACACACACACACACACACACACACACACACTCACTTGATCTTTGCTGGCGTATGACATACTGGGTTAAACAGTGTCTTAGAAGAAGTCACACATAGCCTCGAATAAAGGGATTAAACAGCAGGCTGCCATGGCTTCCAGTCAGAGGGAGTGGGCAAAGAGATGGAAAAAGCTTTTTAGTGCTATTTTGAAAAATATGCAATTACTTGTGTGGGAAAAACACCTAGAAAGGAGGGAAGACATAAAGAAAGCACATATAGGCCCAAAAAATGAATTTATTTTCCAAAACTTTAAAAATCATGTGTCTAAATTATTTAAAGCTAGACTGAAACCCTATAACCCCACTCTGGTATTTTTCACTGTTAAACAATCACACAAACAAGTGGAATTAGATTTCAGTCAAATATGTAATTTGGGGGAAGCTTCAGAAAGAGAACTATGACTGATACTGCATTTCATACTGCTTTGTGAAAAGAGCTAGGTCAGTAAAGGTCATTGTTGTGTTGCTTGGAAAACCTTTTCAAATGTACCTAAACAGCCTGTCATTCATAGTTTATTATAGTGTCTCTGTCCTCTATGATGACAAGTTCTATTGTCAGTGAAAGATGGATGGGGACATAGAGCAGCTGTACTGGGGGAAGGGCAAGGGAGGGTAATAATCTGGGGTGAGCAGGCTACCCAAGTGCATCAATAAGGAAAATCATCTGTCCGTCAGCTGCCTGAATAGCGTGCAATACACAGGCAGGGAGGAATTAACTTGTACATGCATGGAAATTTAGCTTTTTGTTATGTAGACAATGCGGGAACACAGAGAAAAGGACAATCTGCTTATTAATACTTGATTTACATAATTAATATCGAGGCTACAAACCAACAACAAAAAAGTTAACACAAACCCATAACCTGCCTTGAACATAAACCCTCAAACATGTTTATTAGAGAAGTGGGAACCAGCCACAATGTACACCCTTGCAAGGTCTAAGGCTCATAATCCTCACAAAGATAGATGTACAGTAGACACACATACACACACACACACACACACACACACACACACACACACACACACACACACACACACATACATGGAGGCATCGAGCCAGAGGCCTGGGATGGGGTGAGCTGAGGAAAGGAAAAGGGGGGTGTCATTAAGCAGTTTCCATGGCAGATGGTGCCTCGTTAGCTGTCCGCCTGCACAAAGAAACAACAAAAGATAAAATAACACTTCCACACCCACCAACACATATGCGTTAACTATGACGCATAGAGTACATCTTATCTTTATGAAGTTCAGCTGGGCAACATTTTGACTTTGCATAATGATCATTACATTTCTTCAAATCAACCCCCTGAACCCAACTGCTTACAAATATGCATAACCAGAAATAATTAACTGGGTAATCAATGGACAGCGAGACAGAACGAATTTTGGACATCCTTTGCTCCGGAGAGTGTGAAAATAACACAAACACACTCACCCACTCACAATATGTCAGGAGAATGAGCAGCTCATTATGAATACATGCAGCAAGGACAATTAAGTCTGCCAACGATATGAATAGAATGAGGAAATTATGAAATGGACATTGGTGTGTTTTTATTCCTTCTTTTAGATGTCTGTACTTACAATAACTCCTCTAGGGATAAACCATTGGCATTTCAAAGATCAATTCAATATTCAAAAATCTGATTGAAGGTTTCCCCTGTTTATTTGTCAGTCTGACAGATTTTGAAAGGATCCTTTCCTCTTGACTAAACCAGTTACTTTTGTTTCTCCATAAAAGCTACATTGTTCTGATTTAATGACTGTCTCTCTCCCTCATAATTATCTATCGTTTCTTCTCTGGCCACACATGAACACATCTCTTATCTCTTTGTCTCCAGTGGTATTGAGCCGGCAGCAGAGGAGAGTCCAGCTAATGCGGATCCGACAGCGGGAAGAGAGGCTGAAAAAGGAGAAGGAGACAAGGAAGAAGAAAAAACGAGACAACCTGAAGCCTAACCACAAGCAGAAAGCCAACACCAATCACCATCATCACCAGCAGTACCATCACCCAGCAGCCTCCCACCCTCATCACCAAGCACAGACCTCTCAGCCACCTAAAGTCCCGCCTCCTCAGACTGAGCCCGGCTACCATCGTAAGTCCAACCCCAAAAGGCGCTTTGATGGAGATGTGCTGTCACCGGTAAGCATGCTTCTTCCTAGGATAAATGTCATGCTTTAAAAGATATTTCATGAAATTAATATATAAGCTAGTGAAAGTTTTAGTGTCTCCATTTCATCAACAAATATACACATATACACTGTAACATTGGGCCTTTATGGGGACTGACTCACTTATGGACCCAGCCTCAAGTGGCCATTCATGGAACTGCAGTATTTGGCTTCGTTTTTTAGCACATTAATTCTCTTAGATTACCACACACTAATTAGGTTCACATTGGGCAGTGATTTCCAGTGAGGTTCCCCTGCAACTAGTGGATTCAATGTGCAGCAGTTGCAAATGTCCCACTTTACTGTATTTTCCTAACCCAACCCCTGTCTCTCCACAGAGCTACATCCGGAGTTTCAGGGACAGACAAACAGACAGACGAGCGTACTCCCAAAACCGAATGATGAGCCGCTCCCGGATGGCTGAACTCGACTACGACTGCGGCTCTCGAGTGCCCCTTACGGCCCCCAGCGGACCCCCAGTTCGCATCTGAGACAGTGCACACCAGACCACACCCACAATCACGCATAAATACTTCAAAAATCTATGTTATAGAAAACCTAACTTATCTAATTAACTGCCAATTAACACATCAGTAACTGAGTTATCTAAATAAGGTGTTGTGTCCCACACTGGTTTTCTCTAAAAAGTTGTATTTATTTGACCAGTTTGGTCCTGTTTTGTTCTTTATGAACATTAAGATGCAAGGGAAAAGCTTTTTTCGTTCTTAAGATGCAGGAACAGATTGCTTCGTGAGTCATGAGTCATCCCAAACTATATTTGACTTTAAACCTCTCATGATACTATCCCGTTCTGCAGGACACTGGAAATAATGGACTTGTCTTCTAAGGAAGTTGATTGAAATTTCACCATTGAACATTTGATTTAAAGAATCTTCTGGTTGCTTCAAATTACAAGAAGTCATTTCCAACGGGATTGTAATGTGGGAAACAATCAAAACATTAATTTCTTCACAGGAGTGCTGCCTAATTTTGGATGAAATGCATCATGTGGCTTGTATAAAGTCAAGGTAGCACAACCGTCAATAACCTATTCTTTTTATCTTGAGTTCAAGGTTAATTAAGGAGAAAACTTCTTGCTTCAACTATTCAGTGCGCACAGAGCAAACTTTCAGAAAAACATACAAAAACCACAGCAAAAACTGAAACAGAAAGGCAGCTCTTCTTCATCATTTTCTGCACGAAAGGTCGCTGTAGGAAGTGAGGAGTACATCAAGTCAGCCTGTTATCTCCTCTGACACCTTGTGAATCCAGACATGGCAGCCAGCACAAGTCTTCTGCTGCTTCAAAATGCAGAACTGGGACTGCTTTCAGGTGAGCATGGATCAAAGAGTTCACCCCGTAGACAATTTGTTATGTTATCCCATCCATGAACACGTGTCCATCCATGTATCACCGCATACATTAATGCCAATCTCCAAGGGAAATGTGCTCACGTGTCATCAGTTCCCTTTGCCCTCGATCGCCGGCTGTTTTAACCAAGGACCTGAGCAGAAGACACATCCGTACCCTTCTTCTTCTTTCTTCTTTCCTGGAATTTAAAGCTTTTTTGTAAGCTACTTTATGTAATTATCTTTGTCGACATGTTTTTGTAAGTGCTCTCGTGTTGCTTTCACCCTTCTTAATCCTAAAGACTATCTACATGTTGTGAATTTGTCAACAGTATGATGTTAAGGCAGAGAGACAAGAAACTGCTCTCGGACACTGGTCATCCAGAAATGTGACATTTGCTTCAGAGGGGACAATACGTGGCGGTAAATATGGTTAATATAGTGTGTTGCTGTGTGAGAGTATGAGCAGAAGCCCTGTGGCAACTGACGGATTGCACCACTTATTGGCAGAGAGGGGGATGCATTGAAATGTATGTAAAACATGCTGTATGGTGTTTCTTCTTTTTGCTAATATATACAGGTTCAGTAAAGATGTGCATTTTATAGATTGGATGAAGTGTAAAGTGATGAAAAGGAGTAGAAGCAACATAATCTCCTGTAAATGTCAAGACATGGTGAAAAGATGAAATCATTGCAAATGGCGCCCTCTAATGTTTACTACTGGACCTTTTTTTTCTTGACTTATTGTTTATGTGTTTATATTGTGTGTTATGTTGCGTGTCAGTTGCATTTGGATATTGATCTGCTCCGAACATTACAATTGTGGTACTGAAGGGAAGTTAGATTTGCACAGGAATTCTCTCAGTACAAAGGAGATATTTTAGTTTAATTTTAACCTGTTTTGACTTAAATTACTGTAGTTTCCTAGAATAAACAAAAAGCACTACTAATGTTACAATTCCTACTGAGACTAAATGGTACTGTAACTAGATTATGACCACTTGGATTGTGTTTTACGTCCTTTTTATTTCGGAGTTTACCTTTTATGAGTTTTAGATATACAAAAATATTCCACGGTAATGTACTTAAATTCTTAATAGTTGAAGGGATGTGGCTAAGCACTGGAAGGACCAATCATTCTCCCCTTAACCCATAACTGCATGAGAACCCTTGTGTAACTTTGTCCAATGTGTCGATGTTTCAATGTGTCACTGTCGTCATGTGAAAACCTCAGATTTCCATTTTGAGTTTGTTGGTCCCAATCCACATTGACTGAAGGAATATTGTGGAAGTACGTCTAATTAAGTGTCTCAATATTCACAGCATACAGAAAAGGTAACATCTATAGTGAATCTTGATAGGACCAACTTATTTTATCTTTAAACTTGTCCAGGTAAAGGGCTTTGAAAAGGCATAATATGAATAATGTCCCTCCTCTCACCATGCATTATGCTAAGCCACCTTCCTTTCTACTGTATCAATGTTACGCCTATAATGTTTTGCAGTAGTGGCTGTTGAAGCTTTATTTGGGGCTTTGCTAACATGTGAGTCCTGTTTGGTTCTTCTTTTGGGGTTTTACTGTAGTGCGCTTGTAACGTCATCATCGTTTACTTTTCTTTCTACTAATACTTTTTGTGATTGCCCATAACTGCTGATGTAGGGAAAACACTTGTAGATGTAGATATTGAACTGTAAATAATTTTATTTTCATGTTTACATCATGGTCACTTATGTAATTTATCCAGCTGATTGGATTAGATCTTTTTTATATTGCGTTACTACTGTATGTCCAATTAGTTCTACTTGACTGGATGGTGGGTGCACTTGTATCATTCTCATGCTTCTGTTTCAACGTGTGATGTTGAAAATCAGCAAAAACAAACTGAGCCTTGACTCTTTTTAATCAGTGATTACTCATTACTCCATCTTTTTTAGAAGATATTGCAATTCTTTTTCCTACCACCCCGTTTAAATGTGTAAAAAACACCTGTAGACAATGGTTATTATAATTATCATTATTATTATTATGATTATTGATAGCATGAATTTATATGGACCTAAACTATGATAAACATTGTGATTCTACAATCTATTGGTCTTGTTTTTCTTTACTTTTCTTACAGAGTGATCACAGGGCTGATTTTACCCAGTACACATATCAAATAATCCCACCAACCGATTACATTTTACATACAAGTTCAGGTAACAAATCTAAGCGTTTCGCACTAATAAAACCAGCTAATTTGTCATTGTCAGATTTTTTAGTTAGATAATCTGTGAAATCTATAATCTATAAAAATGCTTGCATAACACGATCAAATGTAGCATCTTGAGTCCATCTTCATGACTCGTTCTTACTTCACATATGCAATCAATTGGTCTGACAGTAGGTGTCAGGCTACATTTGGAGCTTGTACACTGAGTTTGTCATATACAAATCTAATCAGTAAAAAAATAACCTTCAAGCAGCACAATAAAAGGAGCCACATATTACGCCTGAACCTCAACAGGTAGCAGCTGATAGAGGAGAGGTCACTGAGGTCAGCTGAGTTCATTTGAAGAAAATGTAAGCAGCACATGTTACCCGTTGTATTGACTCCTAATGATTGGGAAGCTGTTGACAGTGGCAGAAGTTGTGAACACAGTAAAGTTTTGCTCAACATTGCTACTGGAAAAGCCATCTCTCGCTTTCTATCTGTCGGTTTCTTTCTTTGTTCTGCCTAATTATCTCCCTTTAAATGGTTCTGGTCTCCTTTTCTGTCCTTTTTATTTTCTCTGTAGGCCTATGCCTTTTCTTTCCTGTTTGCTCTCTGTACCACCATCTTGGTCTTGCCTTTCATGCTGTCTACTGTATCTTTCTTTACTCCCTCCTTCTCCACCCCCCCCAATCTTTGTTCATAGTTTCAGTCCAGTAATTTCAGACACAAACCACACAGACTATATAATTGTTGATGCTCTGCTAATCTGCTTTCCACTGAAAACAAAGCTGACCCCAGCAAACTCATTAAGGAGCAATATTTCACTTTCCCCTGCACTGAGATCACTCCTGTTTCTCATATTTTCTTTATAAAAGTGCCTTATGTAAATGTTAACAGAAGAGGGTTGCGCTTGGCTGGGAAAGCAAATATCATTTTAGAAAGCTAACTCCAGCCCACATCAGATGATAAATGCAGCGAGCAGGAACAGTTCATAAAGAAGTTTTGCGCGCTATCTGAGGAATACTAATGAGTTTAAAAAGAAGACTGCCTCGGACTATATGTACACACACACAAAACAATATCCTTTTATGAAGACATCTTAAGAAACTGGCTGACACAAGGGACACACGATGGTTACAAATGTCTTTATTTGAGTTTTTGGCCACAACATGGTCACCCTCATAAAATGAAACACCCAGAACATGCCATTGAGCTCAAACTTTAAACATGCCTGAGTTCCTCTCTCATTATAGGCTTGTGCTTCTGACATCTCACAGTCATTACACAAATAAAAGCCCTTCTTAATCATTTCATTTACTTATACATTTGCACAGAAATGCTTGAAATATGTGCAGAGAAAAGTACTGTTACTCGCATCGTGCAAACGCCTCTTTGGATACTGGGCCAATACAGCTACACCAAGCCTTGATGATCATTTCCAACTTTACACTTGCCATTGCATCATTTATGCGGACAAAATATTTCAATTATGGGTAAATAATAGGGATTTTAGGAAAGTAACACAAATAAAGCATGATTCCTGGAATTAATTTTCTTTAAAACCAGGCTAAAGGCACTGCATTTGCCTGAATACTGCATCGATCCTGTTAATGATGTACGGTACATTGTCTAAAGACCAGTTGCATTCATTTAAATGACAGTTCTCCTTTTCAATCAGCTAAAATGGTCAGCATTCTGGCTCTAAACATAGGTTTTATTTTATAAATTGTGTTAGGAAGACGTCCATTGGTGTGCTACTTTGTAATCATAATATATGGTGTTTTTGATGTTGCCTCTTCTGGCTTACATGATGTCTTGCTGGTGCTGTGTGGACTCGCTCACAACCTGAGGAGGAGAGAAGAGGTATTGTAAATTGTTAAACACATTCATTATCTATGTCATAACTGCAAAGTGTTGCAGATAATGCGTGATGTATTTTCCATTAACAGTGAAGCAGGTATTGTTTGGAGTGAAGTGCCTGGGTGAAGTGATAGTCTGGGAAGAACAGATGCCAGTGACAGTAAAGGTGCTTTATGGGAGCCAGTGTGGGGTATTGATGTTCAATCATAGGAGTATATACAGGGCAAACTACCAGATTTACTACGTAAACAGGCCAACAATGTTTTTGCAGCTATGATTTTAACTAGGGCTGGGCTATATCGGCAATCCATTTTGTGATATGAGACTATATATTGTCTTATCTTTTGGATATCATAAAATGGCATACTGTATTTTCAGATTTATAAAGGCTGCATTAAAGTTAAGGATGTACTTTTATGAAACCACCAGTCTGTTCTAGCTCTTCTTTTTGTGTCAATATGTTCATCAGAAACCAAATGTTGTAAATATGTAGTAAAAGCCACAATGGTCAATTCTACAATACCACTGCAATCATAATATTGATTTATTTGCATAGAAAATATTGTGATTTAGTTCTCTCTAGATTGCCCAGCCTAGATTTCAAACATAGATTGCTTTAAACACTCTGTGGATCCATCATGCTGTCATGGCAACATGCAAACTTCCGTCTGTTCTATAATGAAGTCTGGTAGTTTTTGTCAGCCCTAACTGAGAAAAAGATAAGGGAGGTGGGATATTAGTGAGTAACTTACAGACTGGGCACTAGCGCCCTGGCTCATAGAGAATTTCAGCTGTATGAGAATATAACAAATACAAATAAATCAGCTAGATATTTATAGATTAAAAACAGTTAATGACACAGTATATATTGCTTTGGGTGTTCTGGGGCTGTATATGATGTAGGTGTATTGTATGTTATGCATATACACATGTAAATAAACATCGGTGAGTGTGTTTGCGCTCACACCTCGCCATCGCGGGTTTCGATGGTCTTGATGAGAACAGTCTTCTTGGAGTGAACCTCTGAGGAGCGCTTGTTCTGGGACTCAGGACTGGTCTCTGTAACAACACATCCACACATTATACTTCTTCATTAACTCACATAATAAGCTACAGGAACACACAGCTTGAGTACATATTCAAACTCATTATGAATGAATCGTGGCTGAAACCTAATACATTCTCTTAAATGACTGCTTTTTACTTAAGAAGCCACAATGGGGGCGAAAGTGGAAGTAATTAGAAGAGATTAAATGCACACTTAAACTCTTAATACATCAAGCAAATGGATTAAGTCATGTGATTATTGATGTGTGGCTTTGTGATATTTGCCCCAGTGCATCAAAAGCCACAAAGGTTTCCTGACATGTCATACATCTCCCCACAGTGGTCAGAATGTGTCACTACAACATGTAATGCCCTCAAAATAGCACCAGCCATATACAGTCACAAGCTATTATTAGTCTTTTTCTTATCCCCTCATTGACTCGTTTGGAACGTGAAATTGTATTCGGTTATTATGTGAGACATGAAGCATGTGTAGTGTTTTTCCTACCTCTGAATCCAATGGAGGAATAAGCAGATTGGGAAGGCATGTTGGTAGTGATCCTGCAAAAAGAAGAAAACCGAGTTCAGCTGGTAATAGGAGGGGAATCAAAATGACAGACTTACTGAAAAGTCAGGTTATGACAGCCCTGGGACAGAGGAAAGTAAAGACACTAAAGCCCTCTAATATCACACACATCCAAATGTGAATACCACACACACAAACCTGCTCTCCTCTCCCTCCAGCAGCTTGCGGTAGGTGGCGATTTCAATATCAAGAGCCATCTTCACATTGAGAAGGTCCTGGTACTCTCTCAGGTGACGAGCCATATCGTCCTTTAAGTCAATACATCAAATGTTATATTGTCTGCTCAGATAAACATCACACCAAGGACAAACGCAACAGAGTTATATTACATTCTATATATTTGTAATAGCTCTCTAAAAACACAGCCATTGTTCCCATTGAGTAAAAGAATATCCGGAATTGTGGACCAGTTCGATGCTGCTTTCTATAACCTCATGGATTTAAATGGCTATAGTGCATAAAGTCAATGAGGTAGTTACCTTCATCTTAGCAATTTCTTCCTCGAAATGAGAGATGCTATCCTGGTAACCAGAAACCTCGCGGCCCGTGCGGTCCTCCATCTCTCTCATCTGGCGCAGCAAAGACTCGTTCTACAGGGGACATAGACATGAAGTTAGAAGTGGTACAAAGGGGTCTTACCCAGAATGAAAGCAATAGAACAACACAGAGGTTGCTTTCAGTACTTACGGTGCCCTTGAGTGAATCAATCTCACAGGTGTAGGACTGGATCTGGTGCCTGAACTCCATGGACTCCTGCTTGGCGTTACGCAGAGCATCATTGTTCTTATTCACAGCCTGGCTCAGATCAGTCACCTGAGGAGAAAGGGGGGGTTGTATCAGCTGAAGACCACACATGACCTGTGTGTGTGTGTGTGTGTGTGTGTGTGTGTGTGTGTGTGTGTGTGTGTGTGTGTGTGTGTGTGTGTGTGTGTGTGTGTGTGTGTGTGTGTGTGCTGGCTCCCGCCCTACCTTAGACTTGTACCACTCCTCAGCCTCTCCGATGTTCTTGGCGGCGATGCCCTCGTACTGCATGCGGATGTCCCTCAGAGCGGCGGTCAGGTCGGGCTTGGACATGTCCATCTGGACCTGGACCTGAGTGTCCTGCATCTGGCTCTGCAGCTCATGGATCTCCTGCAATATGAGAAGTGAATAATTATATGTTTTTAAACAAAAAAGTGTATGAGGTTATGAAAAAGTTTTTTTTGTAAGGGGCAGAACAACATGCAGTCTTGTTTGGATTAATCACTTATGCCACCACTACTAACTCGACATTAAGAAAAAGGGAGATTTCAAACCAAAACGAATCAATAAATCAATGTATGGCATCCAACATCAATGACATTTACTAGAGAGAAAATGTAAAACTGCACATTTGCCCAGTGACACCATTTTGA